CGTACGTACGTACGTTACGTACGTACGTACTACTACCTTACCTTACCTTACCTTACCTTTACTTTACGTTTACCGTTACGTACGTACGTACTACTCTCTCTCTCTCTCTCTCTCTCTCTCTCTCTCTCTCTCTCTCTCTCTCTCTCTCTATATATATATATATATATATATATATATATATATGCAGAAGTTGCAGAATCACTAAACTAGTTATAACACTGTTTTAAAGCTTTCCAATTGCATCAGTGTACGTAGAGCATCATTTTAGAGCTCGCAACTCTTTAAGAGAAATCAGCAGCTTCCATCATGTTGGTTCCTTCTCCGACTGAATTTCCAGCAAGTAGCGGCGAAGACAGAGAAACCCAACATGGGCCAGCCCGTTCGATGCCTTTCTCTCTCCTAACCCGAGCTGCAATCCAAATCTCTAGAGCAAGATGGTTCAGTTTCATTAGAAGGCTTTATCATTACCAAAATGGAGTGAGATCAGATTTGGGTTCGAATCCTTTGAATTCGAAGCCATGGATATGGCTGGAGCTTATCCTGGTAACTGCACAAATTATCACAATAACAACTATTCTGGTCATTTCTAAGAATGAGAAACCAGTTTGGCCCTTGAGAATATGGGTCACAGGGTACAACTTTGGTTGCCTATTGAGTCTGCCAATGTTGTATTGGCGTTACAGGAATTCGAACTCGAGCAACAGGAACAGTACTGGTAGTTCTGATTTGGAAATGCAGAGAGAGAATGGAGAATCCAGGTACACCATTCCGCATATTTCTATCACTACTAAATTATGTACCAAGAACACTACAAATGCATCAAAGGGAGGGGGAGAGAAGAAAGAAGAGAGAGAGGGAGAGGGGGGGGGAGAAAGAGTTGACATGCAATAGAAGTGTGTATGCATGTCTTTCTATACGAGCAGGGACATGCAGAGAGAGAGAGAGAGTTTTTGCAGTCCCAAAACAATAAGGTCACTTCCATCTAATAATTTAAATGATTGGGTTTTCAAGGCATTTTTTATAACTAATAGTAGCATTAGATCACAGTATACTTTCCCGAAATCTAGAGAGAAGGGGCTACGGGGCACCAGAACTGGACATAACCTGAATGGTGGGTCCCACACTCTATACATTACTCTCCAACCTTTGATCGGATGGTCATAGCCCCAATGAACGAAAGTTTTCATAATCCATTGGCTTACATTGTACTTCCCCAATTTCTAATAATACTATTTTTATTAAGACTAACTGAAATATTAGTAGCTCATGGGCTAATACTAATATCACATTCTAATAAGACTGAGATTTACTGGAACTTACTGAGATGCTATGCAGGGCTTCCTACATCATGAACAAATGCCGGGTTTGCTTGGAGCTCTTCTTTGCCATCTGGTTTGTTATGGGCAATGTGTGGGTCTTTGATAATCGCCTTGGTTCATCAAGCCGAGCTCCTACGCTTTATGGCCTCTGTTTTGGCCTTCTTGCTTGGAACGCTTTGAGCTACTCCTTTCCATTTATCTTATTTGTTGTCCTCTGTTGCTGTGTACCATTGATCAGTAATGCCATTGGTTATAACATGAATTTGGGGAGCTTGAATAGAGGGGCCTCAGAAGATCAGATTTCAAAGCTACCCAGTTGGAGATTCAAGGCTGGGGATGAGTTCATGAAGGCTAACAATAGTGACAAGCTTGGTGTGGTGAAATCCAATAGGCCACTTGCTCCCGTAGACTTGGTGAGTGAGGTGCTCTCTCTCTCTTTCTCTCTCTCTCTCTCTCTCTCTCTCTCTCTCTCTCTC